GGGGGGAGAATAGGGGAACCCATGGCTGATATGTAGAACTGAATGGTATTGTAAAATAAAAAATATATATCACAAAAAAAAGATATGTGTGCTTAGCAAAATGTTATGGTGTATAATACTTTACAATTGACTACTACACTATGCTATGAGTGAGGACTCACTCACTTTCATAATTGGACGTTTGTACTTTTACCCAATAACTTGCAATTCCTGTGTCTAGCACCCAGAAATCATTACTTCTCATTATTCCTCTGTAATCTCAACTACTTTGTATTTAACCATACATGGTATTTTATAATATTGTCCTGTGTGAAGCCTGTTACACAAACTATAACAAGCTCCAATTTCACTGGATGAATTACAGTAACAGAATTTCCCTTTTAAGTATGATTGATATTTTACCTGAGACATAAACCATAATTTTCTTTGCCTATGATCTACCAATGGACATTTAAATTGCTTTTGAGTTCTAGCTAGCTCCATTGATCCAACTGTCTCTTCTCTAGAGCTCTGGCATTAGAAGTATGTGCTACGGTGTCCTATATTTTCATATGGATTCTGAGGATTAGTATCAATCATGCTTGTAAAGCTAGCCCATCATGAGCTAAGCAATCTCATCAACCCCACTGTGCTTATTTTCATTTGTAGAAGTATTTTTAAGGTAATAAACATGTCTAATGGTTAGTTAACAGTGTCTACCTGAATAAACTAACTACCAGTCCCATAAAATGCAAAGACAATGCACAAAGAATTTAAAGGTATGACTGAAGGACAAGATAAATATTTTAATAATAAGATTTAAGGGATGACTTGATTTCTTACCAAAAATTAAAAACCTTTATTTATTAAACTTATGCTTTGCTTTGTAATCTGTTGCCATGACAAAATTCATTTGGCCAAGTAATGTATGAAGTGAATCAGTTTAGTTAGCTCACTTTGGGAGGCTGAAATCTGACTTTGGGAAGCCACACAGGTTTTGGGATAAGGAGCTTCTGGCTACAGCAAAACACAGTACCATCATGACTGAAATACATGTAAAGGTGAGAGAGCAATCATTCTGGAAGGTAAGGAGCAAAGGTAAGGAAATAAAGAACAATTGCTACATGCACTCCTGGAAATGAATGATAATGATTGTCATATTCCTGATACTCCTGTTCCACTGGCTGTTAGATGTATAACAGCGATTAGCCACTTCACTCACAAGATCTACAGTCCTGCTGATAAGGAATATAGGCTTTTGGATGAGTTCACTTGGATGAGTGCTTGTGCTCATCTCTGTCCGCTTAAAACAGGTGTGTTGTCTCTAACCACAGTCCAGCTTTTCTACTCTACTTTCCCCCTAAAGAATAGAAGGGTGACATTATAATGGAAATTCTGTAGGAAATGAACACTTTGTGAAATCTCTTATGTTCAGAAGAATAATATAAAATAATGAACTTATCTTCTTTCAGTATCGGTTTATCCACACTGGGTATCTCTAACACTGTAAAAACTACATAATTGCTAAGAGAAGTCATTGCAATGACCAGTTTTGGACACTGTACTATTTAAAACATTTCATGTTCAAAGATGTTTAGTGAGATGGTTCAGTGGGTAAAGGCACTTGCCACCAAGCTTACAGACGTGAATTCAATCCCCAGGACTCACTGAGCAGAGGGAGAAAACTAATCTCCGACCCAAACAGTTGTTTGACAACCTCCACCTGCACACCATGGCACAGGTACACACACAAAAAATTGAAAAAGGAAGTTTGGTAACATGAGGAAAACAATGGACTGAAGTATTTAGCAAACAATTTCTCAAATGGTAGGATTTGTAAGTCAATATCCTGTAAAGTAAGAAGTTGGGAAATTTTTATTCACAAAGGCTTTCATGGGCGTTATACTATGGCTTACTTTCAGAGGAAGGACTTAGGACATACCAGAGGCCACATTGCAGTTTTTGTCTTTTTAAACATAAGTCTTACTACACAGGGCAATAGAGTTTTTAGAAACTGATAAGAGTTTAAATTATTTTCAACTAACCCCATAATGTTTGTCAATAAAACATCTAGTTATACAAGGAAGACCAGAACTTACCAGTTTACTACATCCAACAGTTACATATAAACACTCTCAGTTAACCTTCTTGGGCTCCACTGTGAACCTCCTCACACTCTGTGTGTTTGTTCTTTGAGAATTTTGTACAACTTGGCATGATCATTTTCACCCCTTACCCAACTCTTTGAAGACTGACCCTCTTCCATACTCACCTGACTTTTTCTTCTTTTTTGTTCTAAATCCTTCAAGATAAATCTGTGCTGTCTTGATATTTGTAAATGCATATTCTTCCATTCGAGCTTATAGAATTACTACACTGTCAGAGAAAACTCTCTCCCTTTCCTACCAGACAACAATTGCCAACAGCTACAGACTTATGGTTGGGATCTCATGACCAGCACCTGTCACCAACTCAGATTTGGTACAGCTTTGGCTTGCATAGGTTTTGTCCATATTGATGCAATTAGAGTGAGCTTGTGTGCTCTGTCACATCCAAAAGCTGCTTTTCCTTGCAGTCATCCTCTGCCTCTGCACACATCTCTGTGTATTTACATATGAGGTCACCATTGCTTCTGCATGCACCTCTGTATGTACATATGAGATTATATACTGCCTCTGCCTGTGTCTGTACACATGACGTCAACCTCGGGTGTCATTTCTCAGCTGTTATTTACTTTTTGTTGTTGTTGTTGAGATGGGATCACTGAGTAACTTGCCCAGTGAAGTATGCTAGGTGACCAGCAACCCTCCAGGGAGCTGATATTACAAGTATGTACAACCATGTCGTGCTGGTTTTGTTTCTTTGTCATCATTGTTGTTTGTTTTGTTTTAAATATATGTTCTGGATATTGAACTCAAGTTTTCATGCTGGCAAGGCAAATATTTTACCTACTGAGCTATGGTGTTACACCTTGTTTTGCAGATATTTATTTATTAATTTTGGGGTATAGATCCTCATGAGGAGTTTGAGAGATGGCCTGGCATTTAATAATGTCTAAAGTTCTTTCAGAGCACCCAAGTTCAGTTCCCAGTATCTATGCCAGGTAGCTCACAGTCACATGTAACTCCAAACCCAGGAGCACATTACCCCGCTAGCCTACACGGGAACACACACACACAGACACACACACACACACACACACACACACACACACACACACACACGCACATGCACATTTCCATAGACCCATACACAGACACACACACACATACCTGTAACTTAAAAATGAAAAAAAATCTAATGAAGTGATTTTGAGGCATAAACTAAAATACCTTCAAAAGAATTCTAACTTACATTGCACAGAATATAAAAATGAACCATTTTAACTTACCAGTTTCTAGTTACCAGACCTTCAAAGTTCATGGGAAAAGTTTAGTTAGTTTTTATATTTTACCTTAAATGCATGACATGTAGAATATCTTTCCTCTATGAGATTTTATGAAGAAGGTAAAAAGATTACTGTGGAAATTTGGTTAAAGAACATCCAACACAAAAGGCAAAACATAAATGATGTTACCTGTCACAGGAAAAGTTAAAGTCAAGTAAAATTTCATTATTTCAGGACTTGTAGCATCCTGTGGCCAATAATGACATTTAAGCCTGAAATACTTATGACACAGGCAAAGCATTCAGCATCCTTGGATGTCACTCCTACTTTTGATACACACCATGGTCCCTCTATATAAGAACAATTTCAATTTCAGTTTCACTCCAAAGCATTGCTTTTTTATTCTACTACATAGCACATATCACAGGTTAATATATATATTAAACCTATATAAATATATGTTATAGTTACATATGATATTATATATAATATATTCTTAACTCAGAATGTAAATTTTAAACTTATCATATTTCTTATATGTAGGGAATCATTGAGCACCTGTTTTATGTTCAGTAAATCTTTCCTTACATAAAGAAAACAAGAAGTAAAGGCGGGGGGAGAAAAGAATAGAGGGGGTAGAAAAGAATGAAAATCGTGTAAGAGGAGAATGTTTTGCACCTAACTTCTGAAAGCAAATGCCATTGGCAGTATTCAGTGTTAATCTGTGAACTAATTAATCCTCCTGAGTACTAACATATCTGGAGGGAAGCCATTCAGGAAAGAAAAAAAATATATATGGGAGGAAGTCTCATGAGGATCAGAAAGAGCAGTAATATAAACAACCATCTAGAAGTGAGATTCTCAGTTGACATTATTTTATTTTATTGATTCTCATAAGGAAACCTTAAAGCCAAAAGGCTTTAGACATACAAGAGATACAGAAGCATCATGATGAGAGGTGGGTAGCCCTCCTGAGATGTCTAGGACGAATAGGGGACAGCAGGCTAGTCTATAAATGTGGGTTTTCCAAGGATACTCTTTTATGTTTCCTAATGAATTTTTTTGAAGATAAAGAAAAGTTGAAGAACAGAGGATTACATATTATCACAATATTTTCCATTTTGTTTGTATGGTTATGTCATAATGTACCTTAGTAAGGGGATATTATTGATATTTGAAGCTTTTCTTTAAACATTGTAAAGCTACCTGCTAAATAACATTTTCTTTCAAGTGAATGATTACTGCAAACAAATTAATGCCACCACAACATTTTTTTTGAAGAATTTTCTTAAACAAAAACAGTAATTAAGGTCTTGTAGAGATAGACCAAGTACATTCACTCCTTTTTGGCTCATCCATCGGAGTGGGTAACTTCAGCTCAATGAGTAAGAATGGGGGCACCCGGGGTCATCAACAGGAGGATGTCGAGACTCACCTAGAACTCTGCTATAGTATGAATTCCATCTTCGCCAGTAGGACTGAAATATATAGTCTTGCAGAGAATAAGATATGGTGTTCTTAACCCTTTCACCGAAGGACATCTGGTCAGTGAGCTCTGACAAGGCTGCAGGGACGTAAGAGGTCGGTGCGGGGATTTTCCCACAGTGTCTCTCCACTGTAAAGGCTGGAGAGAAGCGCAATGTATACACAAACGGAATTCCCAGTTTCAGAGCCACCAGGTCGCCACAGATTGTTACTGGGTCAGCTATTAACACATTGAAGTCTTGGTCCTGAAGTTTTGCCATTAGTGTGGGATTGTTTAATACACCATCACAGATCTCAATGTTAATTTGATAGAAAGTCTCAAAGAGCTTTCCTAGCTCTTTGTAGAAAGTCCACATGGTGAGAGGTGTAGGCCTGTGGTCTAGCCACAGGGCTATCATATGTTCAATTATTTCATCTATTTTGCTTTTCGTGTAGGAAACAGAAATCTCTTCAAAATGCACAAAGGCATCAGGACTGGAGTTGATAAATAGAGTTTCTGATGAAGCCAGTACAGTCACACTGTGATTTCTTTGAATCAACTCTTCCAGAAGGATTTTAATATTTAACCAATGGCTGCCATCTGTAGGCCAAATTAGCACATTCCCGCTGAGGACAATTTCAGTCAGAGCCAAATGAAAAACAAGCAACTGGGAAAACTTCTTAATCATGGTGGCATCCACTGTGGAAAACTGTCTACTGTGATTCTTTTAAGATAAAAAGAAAAATTCAATGTATTTAGGTAGAATTCGTGTAAAATAATATTGAATATGATAGTCTAGTTACACCCATTCATAGGCCAATTGTTATATGTTAAGAAGGAACTTACATAATAGAACTTAATATGCATCAACATGATTATATTGTGGGTAGAAAAGAAATCTAGTCAAAGTGTAATGAAAAGAAGCTATGAAATATGTGTCTTTGTGTTCTGTAATGATAGATCCACTTATTAGTCATTTCTGTATATGTTGTCTTATTAGACCCTCCAACATTGTATGTCCTTCAATTCACTGAGAACTATAATTGAGTCCTAAAACTAATATGACAAATTTACCCAACTTGGAGTTTATTCATAAATTTATTTGACTCACTGCTGAAACAGCATTATTATTCACACTTAGGAAGGAAGCTGAAAAACTTCCATTTACTTGATATTTCCTCCAACAACTACTTTTAGAAGTTTTAGATCAATTAGGTGGTAGAGTACATTAGTAAACATTGTGTAGAGGATGCCCCTTTTCTCTGATAATTTATCAGTGCTTCCCACCTCCTTGTTACAGACAATTCTCTTTTTCCTGCACAAGGGATCATTTAAAACAATTCAAAACACAGTTTCTTGAAGGCTGTTGAAATCGGGTCTGTTTTACATGATCTATATAGGAGACTAAACAAGAGGAAGCCAGGAGTACAGTAAGCCCCAACCAAAAACATTCTATCCTTTGAGGGTTTGAGATGCTGGAGAATTGTCTGGATCCTCTCAGCCTCACCTTTCTTGGGTGTAAATGAAAGACAACTGATGAACTAATTTGTTAGATTGCTTTGTAAGTTAGCAATCTCTGCAGAGCTACCACGAAGACTGCTTCCCTCAGAGCAATGATATAATATTTTAATAGTTCTATAAACTTCCCCAAAGTTGGCAGATTAAAGAGTCTGATGATTGAACTAGTGATCTAGCTTCTGACATGGGTGAACAAGGTTTTAGAGGTACCACTTGAAATTCTGAGTGAATCCGAGCCAAGCAAAGGCAATTACATAATGTGGGAATGTTAGAATCACCATGATGCCATTAAACAGAGCCATGAGAACAAATAAGATGATCAGGAGGATAAAAAGCAAAGTTAAAGAAAGGACATTAAGCAGCAAACTTTACTTCACAATCAGTTACTCTTGAGCCCCGAAGTTCTAAGTCCTTCAGTAGCTAAAGGAGCAAAAAGAGAGAGAAAGAGAAACTTGAGAAAGGTATGCTGTCAGAATTGTCATTTTTTTTAATTTCTGAGGAGACAGCTTCAATTTGGAGATTGATGTAGTACTTTGCAGCCAATTCAGTAATGAAACACAGAAGCCAGAGGATAGTATGAAATATCTCATGTTGATGGCCATAAAGAATGTCAGTGGCAGCACCACTAAATTACTTGGGAGTTGACAATAAAAAATTTTCAGTCAGTTGCTTACTTTTAAAGGATCCTTTCTGGACAGTAAAATAACTTTATTATTCTGTGATAAAGAAATGATGCATTTAGTTAACAGCGGATGCATGTATTTCTGTTTAAAAATCATAATTGGTGGTAAAGACTTTATTGTCATGAGCATTGCTTTAAGCATCTGATGTATTTTGTTCCCTAGTTTCATATGCTACCAAAATATTTCATAATTGCAAATTCAAAACACACAAGTGCATTTTATTTGCAGATGTTTTAGGTATTATCTTATGGAGTTAAATTTCCATAAATGGAAAAAAAGAACTCATATAAAAATCTGTCTGATTTAATAATTTAATAATGAAAGTGACACTTGGCTAGATAAAATTACTTATTAATTTCTAATACTTTATTTTACATTAATCATTTAGTCTCCATGAATAATGAGTACCTAGTTCAAATAAACATCTGAATACAGCATTTAATTAAAATAGTTTGTTCCTATTTCAATTTTCTCAGTTAATTTTCATATGTAATACTATATTATGTAATTATATAATATATTATAGTATCCTAAATATATAAAAGATGCTCCTTCAAATTCCTACTTGTTTTGTAGTGGTCAGAGCATAAAACTTATAACAATACATATTAGATTTTATATATTCCACTGTTATGCAATATTTATATAATTTTCTCTTTAAAATATTTTTAAAAATTGGTGATGTTTTAGAAAAATATTATAAAAATAAATATAAAATTTACCTGTTTTAAGTTTAAATAATCATATTTGAAATGTGCAGACCCTTTTTCTTATTTTCAGCTAGAGACTGTTTACAGACTTCTCTTAGAGCTAGAAAAAATATCCCAGACAACAGATCTCAGACACCAGAGAGCCACAGAGAGCCATTCCACAAGGAATAGTAATAACATGTTAACAACACCGGTAATTAAAGTTCATACAGCAAATTAAGCATAGTCAAAAGACAGAATTTCAGTTTTTAAAAAAATGAAAGGAAAATATCTACGAATGTTCAAATAAAGCTATGTTAAATAGCTGATTAATTTTTATCTTAAATGTAAACGGGAAGAAAAAGTTCTGGAGTCTGGTATGGTAATTCCTCAGTATGGTTCTTTTGTTTAGGATTATTTTAGCCATTCAGGGTCTTTTGTGATTTCATAGGAATTTTAGTTTCCTTTAGTTTAGTTTAGATTTTTTTTTCTATTTCTGAGAAGAATGTCATGGGGATTTTGATTAGGATTGCATTGAATCTGTAAATTGCTCTTGGTAGCATGGTCTTTTTCACAATATTAATCTACTGACCCATGAGCATGGAGAATCTTTTCATCTTCTTGTGTCTTCCTCAATCTCTTCCTTCAGATACTCACATCTTTCATTTCTGAGTTCTTTCAGCTCCTAAGTCAAGTTTCTTTGATCTATTTTTGAAGCTACTATGAATGGTGGTTTTCCATGATTTTTTTCTCAGCATGCTTGTTATTGGTATATACTACATACTATATCAGGCTACTTATTTTTATAAGGCTACTTACTTTTTTATGCTGAAAGTATTGATCATTTTTATGTTTCCTGGTGGAATTTTGGTGATCTCTTACAATATCAACCGCAAATAGGGACAACTTGGCTTGTTTTCCTATTCATAGTCTTTTAGTTTCCTATCTTTGTCTTATTGCTCTAGCTAGAGCTTCAAGCACAGCATTGAAATGAAGCAGGGATAGTGGACAGGCCTTTATCTACATTGATTTTAGTGGGCATTGTTTTGTGTTGTTCTCCACTTAGGATGATGTTGTCCATGGGTTTATTATGTTCAGATAGTCCAACCTCATCTGATACAACTGTAATATACCCTACGGCTAAGCCTCAATGAAAATCAAAGAAGAGGGTGTGGGGAGGTTGTAAGAACAGGCGATCCAGGACACCTGCTGATAAACATTGTTCCCTAGACACAACGGGGAAAATGCACCCATGAGATCTTAACAATATGGTTGCCTAAATAAGAACAGAATAATGACATCAGTTGATATACCAATACAGGCAGGGAAAATTCAATATGGCCCCATGCTTAGATGAAGAGCTACCAGGGGCTAACAGCTCCCAGGAGAGGGAGAACTAGTTTTCTACAGTGAGGAGCCCCTACCTTGGTTTGCAAATCCTATGTAATGAGCTCTGGACATACACACATATAAGCAATGTTAAATGGACTCAGTCAACCTCATACATCTATAAAGACATATATGTGCATATACATGTAACAGTAATAATTGACAAAGATCATGACTGGGAAGGAGAAGGGGGAGTCAGGAGGAGTCGAAAGGTACGGGAGGAGTAGGGGTGATACAGATGCAGTAGTAGTGTAAAGTTATCAAAAACAAATTAGAACAAAAGTCTAAAAGTAAAAAACATGGGAGACTTTAATTCGAACACTATCTCTTTAAGCAATTAGTATATAATTTTACTTTAACCTGCCTGATATTTTGAAACTTCAATATCTTCATCTGTAATAATAATTTAGTTATAAATATATGTGACAATATATATATAAAACTTGTACTACAGCACCTAGGAACTAGAGAAGTTAATCATTGCTAGCTACTATTACCACAGATTCATGAGTTTTAATAAAACAGTCATGACTTGGAAAAATGTGTAAGTTTGACATTGTAAGATCCAATTCCTAGTAATTATCTGAGATTAAGAACCCACTCTGTGGTTCTCATTACATTCTCCCACAGAATTAATCTCTGGGAAATTTGGCTTACTTATTTTCTCAGCTGTGACAATTTGAGACCCGAATATCTTTGGAGCCATTACAAAAACTTACATTAGAATAGGGGGGTGGGAAGCAGATGATAAATTCACATGACCCTGTAGAAGGAAATTCAAACTCATTGCCCACATCATTCTCTTACTGCTCTATATCAATGCACTAAAATTTACTCCAGCATGTCAGTATTCTTTATTCTTACCTGATTTTTTAAAAAGGAGTGTTCATATCCCTCAGATCACCAGACTACTATGCCTCGGCAAAAAACAAATTTATATAGGCATTCTGAGTCAGAAGAGGATAATTCAATTAGTAACACGATGCTGTATATCTAGATAACATGTAAGAACATCTGCATAAACCCTCATTATTTTCTTGTGAACAACTTGTTAAGTAAGATTAGTCTCTGCTGCCCTGAATCTAGAATAGTGTGATTCTATAATCAGCACTAACTTAAAAGCAAAGAACAATGGGCTTTGTGATTCTGAAACTCCATCCTGGGGGTGATTCTAAAACTCCATCCTGGGGAAGGTTAAATGACAAATAACCTCACAGGTATGATCAGTAGCATAGTCATCATGAGAGTTATAACTGCAGAGTCGAGGGCGGCTTGTTGACAATAGGAGTGATGATATAAAGAAGACACAATCCAGAAAGACCCAGAGAGGCTTCTAGTACACTCTTCTCTTCTATTTGATGAGATGCTTCACACATTCAGATATCTTGTTTACTGCATAAAGGAGATTTGACCAACTGTAGAGCTTCATTTTTCCATGAAACCTCTCCTTTTCTTCACCTCTCCATCTTTTTAAAGAACTTATTTGACTGTTGAATGTAGTCCACTGATTTGAATCTTTGTAGCTTCCAATAGAGTCATCAGCTCTATCTTTGTTTTCTCTGATGAGCAGAAGGACTAAGTTGTCATTTACATGCTGAAATAGATCATCAGTTTGTGAATCATGGAACAAAGGTTAACACAGTCAGAGAAGTTGATAACTGTAGTTAACACAGAATAAAAAGTTAAAACTGGCACTCCAGATTTTAGTCATATTTATCCAACTTCAGTACCTTCCACTTGCATCCAAAACTCATTTGTGAATATTTATTCTGATTAATAGGTATAAATTTAAAATTACTTTAGATTGGGTATTTGGAAGAAATCAGGGTTCAAGGTAATATTACAAAGAAACCTGTAGTTTTCTTTTTGAAATTCTTGTGAACCATTGCTTTATCATTTTTGAAGGCTGCTTGATGTCATTTAATATTTTCATTCACTAGCTAATAAGTAGAGCTAGATCATACAAGTACTGGCAAACACTGTAATTTCTCCACTGTACATAATGATGTCCACTGATTTGAACTAAATTTGAATCTCACCAGCTCTATTAATGAAGAGTGAAAGCACAGACTCAAAATTTGGTATTCCAAAAGAGATAATGAACTTTAGAATTTAGCAACAAGACACATAGCTCATCAAATGTGAGAATCATTCATTGTTCGTCTCATTCTCGCTGAGAAGAGTTCCATCTGGTATATTGTATCAGGACAACAAAAACAATACTGATAGTATCTACCACCCTATAAAGTGCATCTTGAAAGTATTATAGGTACCTCCAAAGATCTCTTCACCGTGTAAACCCGTTGCTTGATTTTAAACCATTTGTTTCTTGGAAAATTCAGAAATATGATAAGTAAGAAAACAGAAAAACAGCAAGCAACCTGAATGTGATGGGAAAGCAGGAAGCATGGGAAAAAAGAGTGTATGAAAACAAATATTGCTTTCATATGGATGACATTCCAACTTCTAATCAATCCATGGCCTGAAAAACCATTCTATTTAATTCATTAGGTATTGGACCCTGCCAGATCTTCCACAAAGTAGCACATATAGAAAATGAAATACATTATTCACACTACCAAATCACTACCTCAGTTAACCGTGTCCATTTATAACTTACTGAAATCACAAATATTGAAACAACTTTAATCTTACATCTTTTATCTGTCTTCACAGACTCCATCAGCTTTAAGTAACTATGTCTAATAAGCTAATACAAATTGGGTGTGTAGTATATATCAATTTATAATGTAACACTACATACTCATGAATTTTGTTACTTATTTAAACATTCCTGTTAGAAATAAGACAAATGAAATGTGGATGAAAAGAGACAGTATTACTGTTCTGTGTCCACACAACTGTAGGCTCCTACTGTGTGTCAACAAACTGATTAACTGTGGTATTATGTACCTTCTTTGTACATGATTTTCCTCCATTTTTAATCCACCTTCCCAATACATGCCCTTACTGTACATTTCCTGGAGTAAGGAAGTAATAAAGGCTTAAAACCCTTCACTCAGTCTCTGCATGTCCAGCCATTTCAGTAAAACATTATTTTTTTGTCAAAACTAATCCCTCTAAACAATTCAAGCTGAAATACTTAGTATATCTTACAAGAGACTTATTAAAATATATATCAAGGATCTGGAGAGGTGGTTCAATAGGTAAAAGCATTTGGTGGAGAAGCATGAGAAGGAGATGAGTTCAGATTCCAGCACTCACTTTGAAAACAGCTATGACTATGAACACATGTGTCTGTAACCCCAGAACTGTGTGAAATGCGAGGGTTGCTGGGTCTTGCTGTTTAGAGAAAGTGTTCAGTTCAGTGACAGATGCCATGTGAAAGGAATAAAGCAGAGAGTGACAGAGAAGCAAATCCAACATCTTCCTCTTAACATCTGGCATGAACAAGCACCCGCTGTCACACATGTGTACATATGCCACCACATGTGCGTGTGCGAGAGCACACACAGACACACAGACATACACACGCATACACATTGAATTAACAACCCTGACATCACTACCGTCTTTTCTCATATCTCCCACCTCTCATATTGAACTACACTGATAGTACATCACACATGATACCCAGAATATGTTATACTAGTTTTGGTTCCCAACTTAGGCACAATTTCCAGTCCAATGATTGTTTTTCAAGGAGACTAATATTTGCCGTCTGTTGCTTTCCTGATGAAATCTAAAGATTTCTCAGAATACCACTCACTTCTGATCATACAAGCAAAGCCTATCTCCTCTACCTTATCTCTGTAATTTTCCTGCATAATTAATAGATACTTCCCTTCATAAACATAATGCCTTGTATCAACAGCTTTATATCATTCATATGGCAATTTCTTATCTAAGCCAGTGCCTGGTGAATATTAGGAAATCCATGGTTAGTGAAGAATAAATAAAGAATAAATAACAATCTCAGAAAAAAATGAGAACAGGGCAAAGGCTATTTGACTTTTAGACTAACTATAGACACAATGATGCTATCAATATACATGTTTTATAACATTATATGTTGTAATTACTCACAAAAAATTATATTGCGTTTAAGGAATTCAAGTAAAATAATTAGGTATTTCATTTTGTGTTTTTACTGAAGTTAGCTGTGTACAAATGCAACAAATAAAGAATGAAAACATTTTTTTACCTTTATTAAGTCTTCACTAGTAGGAGACTATATGTATGTAAGAAAATGTTTATATATGATGATCTAGACAACACAAGGCTTAGGAAAAATGTAATTTATTCCAGATGTATCTATACAAAACTCAAATTTCAAGGCAAATTTTATGCTCATGTAAGTTCTAAATAAGCTTTAGTCTTATTTAGCAATCAAATTATTTGTCAAAAACTTTATTCATATAATGGTCGAAACTTTGAGTCCATAAAATTAGTAGTAAATCGGTCCCCATAGTTCTACAACCTATGTTTGTTTAAATTACTCCTTCCTTCTTGCATGTGACAATACTAGTGCACTATGATGTAAACTTAAAATTATATATTTATACAATTAAAGAAGAATTTACTGAATGAAGCCTTCTTTATATTCAAATGATAAAACAAAAATGGCTACATACCTAAAGCTTTGCTGTAATAGGCATCCCATGGCTTCCACAGAGTTTCAAACATGTAGTCCTGCATTCGGTAAGAGATGAAATTTCTTACTCTGTCAGTGAAAGACATCTGGTCTGTGAGCTCTGACAGAATTGCGGGAACATAGGAAGGAGGGAATGGGACCTTTCCACAGTGCTTTTCCACTGTAGAAGCGGGAGAGAAGCGCAAGGAATAGATAAATGGAATTCCCAGTTTTAAAGCTACAATATCACCACAAGGAAATACTGGGTCTGATAACAGTACTTCAAACTTTCCTTTCTCCAGCTTTGCCATCAGCTTTTCATTTTTAAGAACACCATCACAGATCCCTCTGGACACGGTGTGGAAGTCCTGAATGACTTTGGCCATCTCGTTGTAGAACTTCCAGATAGTTGAAGGGGATGGCCTGTTTTCGAGCCATGTCAAAACAAAATTCTTGATCAGATTTTCTACTCTTCCCTTGTCAAAGGGCACTGGATATATTTCGAATGTCAGAGATGGACTCTTCGACGGTGTGATGAAAAGTGCCCCGGAAGCCACAAGGACAGTAACATTGTGCTCTTTTCTTATGAGTTCGTCTATTATTATCTTAATATTTAGCCAGTGACTACCTTCCATTGGCCAGATGAGGACGTTCCCGCCAAGACTGATCCCTAGGAGACTTATCTGAAGAGACCACAGCAAAACATTGCTCAACATGATGTGCCTTGCTGTAGATTTCTGAAGATGCTGAATAAATAAATTTCTCCACTTTTCTAGCAAAAGAGAAATACAAAAATATGGCTCCATTTTTATTTAAATAATTGATGTCTTAATAATCCTCTCTCTTCCAAGTGTCATTAGCAGCCATAGATACTTATGTTATGGACTCTGGCTTAAAATAAGGTGTCCTACCTTTCCATGTGATTCCTACCTTTTGACCCTTCCAAATTTGATCTTTTGACCCTTGTTTATATACTCTATTTTTTGATAATTTTCTACTTAAACCAATCAACTCCATGTACTCATCAACTCTACATTCAAGTGTAGAAAACATCACCTGAAAGGGCCAGAATCTACTCAGATATGTAGGAACAATAAGTTTTTATTTATTTGCTGTAGTACATTCAAACAATTACATTACTGATGCTAAAACTTTTAATTGGATAACTATATGTTTATGACAAAAGCATAATAATATGAAAATCAAATACATGTGGTACATCTATAAATACTTTTGCAGCACATTTAGAAAACTCTTCTGTCAATTACTGAAATTTCATAAGTAGGTGAACAAAATATTTACTAAAAAATATGCAATGGATGGTGAATGATGCTCTGGAAAACGGTTTCTATTTGAAGAGATTTGCATATTCAAGAACAATCTGGCAAAGTTATGTTGAAAGCAAGCTAAAAGGAGTCAGTAACAGCTGTCATACATCATGCTTAACCCTTAATACTTGCTACACTTGCTAATAAGAAAGACACTAGGGAGTGTGTCACATATATTAATCTCATTCTTTTCCTTTTGCATTTTCAAAAGATTTGATTTTATTGCACTTATTTTTGTCTGCTAATGTCAGCCTCATCTGCAGTTATATACATGCAATCTTTAAAATAGATATAATAGTTCACTGGACTGAACAATTGTTCATGAGTCACTTTATTCATTTTTTAGCAAGAAGTCAGTTCCAGTTCTACATAGTATCTTAGTGTTAACTTTTCATTTATTGGGTAAAATCCTTTATTAGTTGCAAAATTAATGCAAAGTAGGTTTTCCACATCTATTATATACATAAAATTTTAAAACAAAGTACATAAAATGTGTTACTACATAAAATGTGTTACTACATAAAATAATAATTATTTAATATAGAATTAATACTTATGCAATCATATGTATATCATGAATGAATGCATATAAAATGAAATCATATTTATTAGTCAACAAAGAATGTCAGAATAAATAATAAGTTTAGGATGTAATATGTTCTTCCTATAACTCCTCCTCCTTTTCTCACCTAGAGCAAATGGGAAGTGTTCTGAGTTAGACTGACAGGTAATCTTTTGGGATAGAAATGGCTCACAGGATATTGTTTTCTAGATGAAACTGTCAGTGGAGCAGACAATAGGGATGGCTTTATGAGGGACCCAATTTTCAGACTTTGTTTTGTGGTCTGGAACACTTGAATGTGTGAAATTAGCAGGGTACACAAATGAGACCAGTATCATGCCATAACATGTGTCTTGATCTCCATATACACATGCCAGAAATATGGCAAATTTCAAAAAATTTCTCAAACTATGGATGTTAAATTGTAGACTAACTTCTGTCCCTGAGTTAAACTGGAGGCTAAACCAGAAGTTGTACTGATAGATATGTAAAGAGACTAAAAGTAAATATTGCCACAAACAAGGAGAAATCTTATTGTTTTACTTATTCTGACCTAAAGTCCTTGTAAACCTAAGTTTCTCATTCAGGGAAGATTTTGAAAGGGGATGCAACAGACGGTATGATTGGGCTTGGTAGTGTATACCCACTACTCTAGCACTGAGGAGACTGTGGTGGGAGGAGTCTAGATCAAGGTCAGCCTTGACACTGTCTGAAATAAAAAAATAAATAAAAATAAAAACCAGGAGCAAACCTAGAAGAATGGTTGTCGTGCTTTCATCATCTGGCAGGTGCAAGAAGGAAGTTAGCATAATTGAAAAGAAGCTACAATATTCAAATTTTTTTTTTTTTTTTTTTTTTTTGGTTTTTCGAGACAGGGTTTCTCTGCGTAGTTTTGCGCCTTTCCTGGAGCTCACTTGGTAGCCCAGGCTGGCCTCGAACTCACAGCGATCCGCCTGGCTCTGCCTCCCGAGTGCTGGGACTAAAGGCGTGCGCCACCACCGCCCGGCTAATATTCAAATTTTTATCATAGGCAGTGAAAGCAAGTAAAACATTTGCTGATTTGTTCACAAAAGGATTAAGCATAGCGTTTACTGGGGTAGGTGACCCCTTTCACACCCAAGATTTCTAATAGAAATTGCATTTACTTTCTCACTTTCAATTATTTTTGAACAAAGCATATTCCAGTAATATCTGAAAGGCACAAAAATTAAAATTAACTACATAATTTATTCTTAAAAAGTGCCACATCATGCCTACACACTGCCTAGGTTTGTGCAGGTGTCTCATGAGGACTGCAGTGGGTCTCTGTGTGAGTCATTCTTCCTTTTGCCATAATTGAGTGTGAATCTCACTTCTGACATTATGCTTCCCTAACAAAGAAGCAAGTTAGCTCTCTACTGCGAAGAGATAGGGATTTGAGATAATTCTTCAAAGAAGCCAAGGAATTTACCTGCAGACCAAACTAAATTAACTTCCCTCTTACACATCTCCTTTAAAGCTATAAATCAATAGGAAAGACACAGACTCGACAGAAAAAAAAACAAACAAACAAATAAGCATAACACAGAGAACAAAAACCAAAAAGCTCAGCTTATTTCTGAATGTCATATTCCCAAGAGGATGCAGCTAAAAAACATACACCTCCGTTTCAGCCCAAAACCCTATCATTGGTTATTCTCTTTAAAAACGATGAAGTCAGTCCAAAAATACATTCCACAGTATAATAGAATGATTTAAAATAACTTCAAAAGGAAGACTAACAAGAAATTTCAAGTTACAAAACTCCTCCCCACAAGACAAAGTTTTAAAACTCCCTTTCTCTAAAAGGCCATTATATATTGATTATCTTTGTGTTTATAAATCTCTTACCTGGTCTTCACAGCAGTGTCAGCAGCACTCATTTGACAATAAGAAAATGTTGAACTTAAATAAAGTCTAGCTAGACACGATGATATAATGAGGAATATGATCTTGAAGGTAGAGAGATTAAATATATTTAGTTACACTTAGCCACACCACCCAGTACACCTATTGTTAGAGGTACATCTTTCCATTGGTTCTTTTATAATTATTTACATTGAACGCTGCCTTTGCTGTCTACTATAAATATATCTCGAATAACGACAATGATCAGCAACTCGGAATTATTATTTAGAATAATAGAATATTAACATCCTCTAATTCATGTAACATAAATCACAGTTTTTATGATTATTTATGAGTATTTCCATTGAAATATCCTGAGCCTGTCAACTAATTAATTTTCTTAAACATTATGATGACGATGAAAGACCTTACTAGTCTCTCCTGTCTATAAAAAAAAGATTGATATTTAAATTATGAACTGTACACTTAAGGTTGCATGTTTTTAGTACAAACACTTAGAAAATGCAATTCCCATTACATTTCATTCTGAAAATACTTCGATTTAGTCAAAATAGCATATTTAATGTGTTTTAGGCGTGGTTTTCTAAATGTGTTCTACTTGTTAATAACAAGTTTTTTTGAAAATTTCATCCTTCACTGTTTTAGTTGATGTGCAAAGGTGGCAACAAACTTCGTACAGATTTCGTGGGGGACAACTTTCTCCCTGAAAGACATTATTTGTGATGACATTGGAAAGAGAGAGTAAAAGAAGCAACACACTTCCTTCAAATTCAAGTATGCATGGACTGCACACACCTAATTCAACATATTGCCAAGTCACAGAATGAATTCAAGCTAGAAATAGTGAATGTTCTACAGAAATGTTTCTTCATTGTTGAGTTGCTAGTAAACACTTCTTTTCAAGTACAGTAAATCCAAGAAGTCATTTCCATGAGATGTAAGATAAAAGTTCCCTCACCTTACAAATCTGCTGATAGAAAATGGCATAAACAAGATTCAATTTCTTTAATTTCTACTTTTTAATGGGGGGATCTATTAAAGCATACTGTGATTTATTTTTACATTCCCTGTCACCAAATATAACACAACACCCCATTTCTGCATTTGATTTACATTATTTCTTTCAATCATTCTCCTATAGTATGCATACATAATAAGATCATTCAGTGTATATACATTCTACTAATTCAAGAAAAATAATAAATTTGATTTTAAATGTTACTTTTTTTTTAAACTTTGATGATCTGGAGAATGGCTTAACAATTAAGGACACTTGCTACTCTTGCAGATGATGTGGGGCTGGTTCCCAGCACCACTTGGCAAAACACAACCTTCTGTAATTCTAGTTCATAAAATCCAGATGCCCTCTCTGGCTTCAACAAGTACCAGGCCCATATGTGCTGTGTTGCACATAAATAAATGCAGGGAAAAGACTCATATTCATAAAATAATTTTTAATCTTTTAAAAATAGTTTGGGTGTCTCTATATTGATCTTCAATTCAACAGTACTTTTTATTTCACATATTTTAGTATAATTCATTGGTGTTTAACTTACTAATGAATTCATATAGAAAATTTGAATATCATTTTTACATGAGTTTCTTTATTGATTGTTAGTCGTCATGAAAATTATCTATTATGAGAGTGCCCTAAGGCTTATAACTCAAAGCTAATTAGTGGAACAAATTCCCACCACAATTATTCCACCATTAAATATTTTGAAGCAAAAGAAATCATTTCACCCACTGTAAACTTTGTGGGTGAGGGTGCTGTGCTTGTTTAGGCAGTTCTGTTCATCTCTCAGACATAATTCTCATGGCTTAGAGTCATGTTGGTCCCTCTGTGTTAGAACCCTGACTAATCAGCTCCACTGAGATTATCTGAAGTGCTCTCACTGAACTCAGGGAAGCTGCAATTCCTTTTTTCCTACTATATTGATACTGTCATGTGAAGACCCTCCATCCAAATGGTCCCCTAACAGAATGAGGGCCATATTGGTTCCTAATATATTTAAAGAATGATACAAGTATTTTCTAATAATCATCTTTTTGCTTCTTCTTGGTGTAAAAATTCTGATAAACAAATCTTGTGTACTAACACTGAATGATAGTTGAAAGGCAGGCAGCTGTCTTCCATAAACCCATTTGTTTAAATAGGATCACAGTAAAATTTCCAAAAATCTGTAATTGCAGTTTTAGCCAGGAAGAACCAGGTTAATATTGTAATTTAACTTGATAAGCAATAAAATCTAATAGGGCACCATAAACTTGAAAGTAGAGTAGAGGTTATCAATGTTTAAAATTGATTTCATCACTATATTATTACTAGATCATATATATTAATAATGAACTATAAGTTTTAATGCACTTATATAGTTTTAACATGAACTTTTAATTTTTGTATAATTTTCATTTAGTAATGTTCTTTAGCCAGAAGTTTTCTCCAGTCCTGCGGAATCTCTTCCACTCGTGTCCTGCAGCTTCTTGGTACCAAATAAACACACATAGGCTTATATTATTTTTAAACTATGGCCATGGCAGGCTTCTTGCTAGCTAGCTCTTATATCTTAAATTAACCCATTTGTATAGTGTTCCTCATGGAACACTATGTTATATGCTTTATATATATGCAAATATGTGTGTGTTTGTGTGTAGTTTGTTTTTATAAAATATAATCTATTTATTAAGTAAAGAATCCAGCTTTCTAGATGAGGTTTTCAAAAACTTATTTCTTTTACTGTTTTTTTTTCTAGATGAACTATTTAAAAATTATTCCTTTTATAATTTTTTTTTTGAGGAAGAGGTATTTCAAGATAGTGTTTCTCTGTGTAACCTCCCTGGCCCTCCCGTAACTCCCAGGCTGGCCTCAAACTCACAAAGATCCACCTGCCTCTGCCTCCTGAGTGCTTGGATTAAAGGCATGTACCACCAACGTTCAGCGTTTACCTTTTGAGGATATAACATAAGTGCATCATTTTTCCTTCCTTTTCTGCCCTCTAAAGCAGTGCTTCTCATATGTGGGTCGGGACCCCCAAACCCACAGACTCAAAGGAACCTTTTGAGAGTTGCACAAAACCATCAGAAACACAGATATTTCGCTACAATATTTAACAGTAGCAAAACGACAGTTATGAAGTAGCAAGGAAAATAGTTTTATGGTTGAAAGTCACCACAACCTGAGGAGCTGTATTAAAGGGTCGCAGCATCAGAAAGGTTGAGAACCAGTGCTCTAAAGCCTCCCCTACACCCTTTTCTTGTTTCCTTTTTTCATTATATTTTGATATTGTTTAAAGCAATTTTTAAATCTAAATATGTTTTGATCATATTCTTCCCCCCCCCCCCAGGTCCTTCCAGGTCCTTTCCCCCTTCCTACCCTCCCAGATGTAAGTTCTTTCTCAAAAAACAAACAAAAACACAACACAACAATCAAACACCTCAAAATCAATAAAACAACATCCAAATAGGGAAAAAAAAACATTAACTGTAACAAAATAAAACACAACAACAAAACAGGCGGAGTCCATTATACATTGATCAATTGCTGCACATGATGCCTGTCCTGCCTGGTTAGGTTGATCAACTCAGTGTTACTCCCTTGGAGAAAACTGGTTTTCCCTCTCCCAGCAGGTCTGTTTAGTTAATACCCTAGGGTTCATATCTAGCAAGCACTATTAGACAGCGTCCGCCTGGGGGCAGCACATCCCAAAGCCTGCTGGACAAGGACATTTGGTGTCCGATCTGAGAGGAGACACATTTGTATTATCGGGTTTGAATGTTCTTGTCGTTTCTTCTTGAGGTCTCACAAAAGTTCTGGAATGGAATAGGAAAGACCACACAAGTAAAGATTTTCCAGGGAAATGAAAGTTTCAATAGTACCAAAACCAACCAATCAAACATATTTTATTTCACTACTTTTTGACTGCAAATTTTACTGACAAAAACATGAGCAGACACCATTATTTTTTTCTACTTAATTGTCATTGCTGAGAGACATGACCTGTGCATAAAGAACTTCGCCTGCACAGAAGGCAATGAGGATTAATAACCACTGCTCAAATGCTGGTGCAAGGCTCTGCAGGCAAAGGTGCTTGCTGCCCAGGCTGACAGTGTGAACTGGAATTCCAGGATTCACACGGCGGAAGGAGAGAACCAACTCCCACAGCCTGTCTTCTGACCTCCACACAAATGATGTAGTTTCTCCTGCAGCCACTGAACAATTATCAGTGTTGACTCTGTGTGAAGGAGAGTTTCAGGCAGGGGTTACCACTGAGACATGCACTTCTGGTTACTAGACTGAAAGCAGCTAATAGAGAGCAAAGAACAAATCACAACCAATAATTTCTGCAGGAATTAGAGCATTTGGTAGACTTTAGTCTACTAGTAAATTCGTGGGAATAGATGGACATTTTATACATAAAAGATAATGCTTCAAAGTTCAGAAGTTATTCAAAATGACTCTCGTTTCATTGTGGTTTTTGTTTTATTTCTCTTTCCTTAAACAACCAACATTTTTCCTCAAGGATGAGAAAGAGTTCCTGAAACAATTAAGACTTGCTGTGAAATTTATGATAAAATGAATTTCAGAGAAATTTCCCAGAACCATTTGAAAAGGTGGTAAAAAGACTTCTTTTAATCGTGTGTGTGTGTGTGTGTGTGTGTGTGTGTGTGTGTGTGTGTGTCTAAACAGTCTTTAAATAATGATGACAGCCAAATCACACTTGAGAGGCTGAGAACTTGCTACTGGGCCATTGAGGATGAGTGCCTCAGCAGTCAGAAGAGTCTCAGAAGAGCTGGTTCTCACTGAGGAGACATGACCAGAAGTTAGTTCACAGACCAATGCCTGCCTGAGTGCACCCAACCTGACTCACTCTTGAGGCCCAGAAAGTTCAAAGAGCCACTTGTCAGTACTGTTCCATGATGACAGCTTCCATACACTGATTCTGCTACCTGTGAAGGAAGCAGCAGCAACAGCAACAACCAGGTGAACCAACTCCACTGCAAGAAGGTAGGCCAAGCAGGCAGAAGGAGAGAAATTTCCTTTCTGAAATACTCT